TTGGAGGGGTGCCTCTTGGGCCCGGACGGGGGCAGCGGTGGATCGGGTGGGAGGGGGGTGGTGTCGGGTGCCGGGTGGCCAGGGGTGTCGGCAACAACAGGGCCGATATCCCGCCGGGTCTCGGGGGTCTCAGGTGCCCCTCTCCCCCGGGCCAAAGGGCAGTCCCTGCGGACATGCCCTGCCGAGCGGCAGAGGTAGCACCGGGCCTCTCCGGTGGAATAAAAGACCCTATAGCGGGCTCCCTGGTAGGGAACTTGGAAGGACCCCTCGAGCGCCTCTCCGTCACGCACCCCCGCCGGCAGTGAAATCTGCACTTGCCGGCGGAACGAAAGGACGTGACGGAGGGCGGGGTCCTTACAGCCTAACGGGAGAGGGCTAATAACAGAGACAAGCTTCCCCAGGGCGGAGAGAGCAGGTAACAGGGCAACATTAGGCAAAAAGGGAGGAACGGAGGTGAGGACGAAGCGAACGCCCAGATCTTCTAGCGGTTCTAGGGGAGAAACACCCCCCCACCACTAGGCCCTTCTCCACCGCCTCCTGGGCGGCAGTCTCCGAGGCCAGAAAAAGAACGACCTTCCCATACATCTTGGAGGCCGCCACAATGGCCATGGGTCCTACCACTTTCGCCAACGCCTGTACGTATGCCTCCACGTGGGGCGAGGCGGGCACTAGGAGGCAACGGACACCGTGCTTCCTGGTCAGGGCGGGAAAAGGGCCCCGATTGCTAGTGATGGCAGCGGAGGCAGTGGGTGGGCGAGATGAGGAGGCGGCAGGTGAGGGGGGGCCTGTCGCCACCCGGGCATACGTCCTGGGGGCCGGGGGAGGGATGGTCGCAGAGCTGGTGGAGGGAACAGCTGGGAGGGGTGCCGCAATCGATGACGAGGCCACTGTGGTGGGGGCGGCCTCTGCCACGGAGGGTCCAGCGGCATTAGCGGGGCCCTTCCCTTTTGGCCCGCTTCGATTTTTCCGTCTAACTGGGGGGGGGTTCCTAGAATCTAATGGGGCAGAAACCAGAGCAGCAGTAGTAAGCGCCCCGGTGCCTCCTACTGCCGATGCCCCAGCGGGGCGGTGGCAGGGGTTCTAACAATGGAGGCGGTGGGGAAATCTTGAGGGGTGGGCAGGAGGGTAGATGAGGAAGGGGCAACCAATTTCGGTGGAGGGGCCTTGCGTCCCTCCTTCTCTGCCATTGTAAGCAGGGAGAGATAGGGAGACACTGGGAGGGGGAGGGGGGGCAAAAATCGGGGTCCGGTAGTAGGGGTAGGCTATGGGGTAAACAATCCGGGGGTGGGGGGGTGGAGGGAGGACAACCCACCACAAGTGTCCAAAGAGTCTCGCTTGGTTGGTTATTATGCCGGTCCAAAAGGCAAAGTCCAAAGCAAACAGCTGGATCCAAAGGCAGATGGCAGATTGCCAGCAGGGACGAAGCAGCGGGGGCCGTGATAGTCGTAGTAGTGGTGGGGGGGTTGGGGGCACCGATGGATCTGGGGGTAGCTCCCTGCTACACCCCTGTGCCGCCGCAGACGCAGCTGAAATGCAGTCAACTCCCCCCCCCCGAGGGTAGAAATTCAAAAGAAATCCCTCAGTCTTACGGCCTCTCTCCACGATGATTCATAGCCGCCCGGGAGTTCTCCGGCCTCTGGCGTCTGCTACAGCTGTTGGCTCTGTCCCAAGGCTCTCGGAAAAAGTCCAGGCAAAAAACAAAACAGCTGGGTCTGGGGGGGTCCACTCCCCTCTCCGGACAGCAGGTCGGCAGTCCTCCCCCCTCCTCCGGGGGTTTCAAATAAGCAAAGAGCAAAGTCCAAAAGCAGGCATCGGGGGGGGGGTGCTGGCAACCGGCCAGCACACTGACGCAGCTCAGGAAAACGGGAAAAAACGAAACCAAAAAAACAAAGCGTCCGGCCCAAACGCGGGGGGGGAAACTAAGCAAAAGGAAAAGTGTGAAAAATCCGGGCCGGGGGGCTTTAGGAAAGAAAGGAAAGCAGATAGCTCAGGAGCGAGTGAAGAACGATTCCGTCTCCTTAACAGGGAAGGTTCCAGAACAATCAGGAACTTTCTGGAAACAATTAAGGCAGACACGCTGATTAGAACACTGCAGCCAATCAAGAAGCTGCTAGAATCAATTAAGGCAGGCTAATCAGGGCACCTGGGTTTAAAAAGGAGCTCACTTCAGTTTGTGGTGTGCGTGTGAGGAGCTGGGAGCAAGAGGTGCAAGAAGCTGAGAGTGAGAACGCGTACTACTGGAAGTGTGAGAAGTACAAGCATTATCAGACATCAGGAGAAAGGTCCTGTGGTGAGAATAAAAAAGGTGTTGGGAGGAGGCCATGGGGAAGTAGCCCAGGGAGTTGTAGCTGTCACACAGCTGTTATGGAGCCACTGTAGACAGCTGCAATCCACAGGGCCCCGGGCTGGAACCCAGAGTAGAGGGCGGGCCCAGGTTCCCCCACATCCCTCCATCCCTGTAACTCCCTACTTGATACCGGAGGAGTTGACCTGGACTGTGGGTTCCACCAGAGGGGAAGGTCTCTGGCCTGTTCCCCGATCTATTAGGTGGATCAGCAGAGACTGCGGGGATTGTTCTTCTTCCTTTCCCCATGCTGGCTACTGATAAGGCTAACTGAGTGAATGGCAGATTTGAGCCACGAAAGTGGCCAAACTGGGGGCTGCCGTGAACCTCTGAGGCAAGCAAATCCGCCAATAAGCGCAGGACCCACCAAGGCAGAGGAGGAACTTTGTCACAATGTATCATATCAAATATGAGCACACATGCATAGGCCCACATGCTCTCTTCACGGTTAATAGAAACCTCAGGAAAGTGCATTTTTCCAGGCAAACTTTTCATGATGTGTGTCTATGAAGAAACAATGCAATGACAGCAATGGGCTGGATTGTCCCCTTCCTGGATTTCTCCACTATAAAGCACAGGAAATTCTGATTGCCCATTCATGGAATCTCTGCTTTTATTATTTAATAGTGGGGGGTAATGGGATTTGTCCCCTAGTCAACCACTGCAGAATTGACAGGGGACTTGACCCAAGGAAGCCACACAGTAGCCGAGGTCAGTGCTATCTGAATGGAGACCATTTGCATCCGTTCTGCCTCCTGAATCTAAGGCCCCATAGCCACGCAATTTGCTCTCCAATGCGCACATCATCCCCCAGGCAACTGCTTCATTCAGGCCCACTCGGGGGCGGTTTCAGAGAGCAGGAGGGGACAGCGCGTGAGTTAATACTGATAAGGCCACCGTGAACAGGTTATGGTGCTCCCACGGGGTAGACCAGAGTGGATGTTCCTACAACAAGCACTTATTTCCCCCCGTTCTGCCTCCTCTAGTCCTTGCTTTGGCCCATCCCAACCAGTGGAACGGATCCCCTTGGAGCACCCAGGGGCTTCCACGAGGTGATGAGAGGAGGGCAATGTTGTGCAGGTAGCAAGCTCCTTTCTGGGCCCTGTCACCACCTGGATCCACTCATTTCTCTGCCGCTGCCCACACAGGGGTAATGCGGCTCATGGTGCAGAATTACCCTTTGGTCACAGATGGGACCTTTTGGCTAAGGATCGGAATCTTAATGAGACGCAGCAATGAGGACCTCACCCTGCTATGCAGACCTTTTCTGGGCATCTTGGGTAATTTTAACCCCAGGAAACAGAAGTGGGAACAGTGGGGAGACAAAGGGCAAATGGAAGAAGCTGCTGCTGGCTTTTACTGGACTAACCTAAAATGGAACAAGATGGATTCTTCCAAATGCCAACCTCTTCCTGGAAAGCCAAGTGAATCTTCATCAAAACCCCCTTCTCTTTCAAGTGCTCCCTCATGTCCTATAAGCATGGATTTGTGAGCACCCCATCAATATACTCCCCCCTACCCTTCGTAGTATTCAAGTACTGAGCTCCTGATAACCCTATCCCATAGCCCAACACATGGCATGCACGGTCCTCAGAGTAGCTGGTGATTTAAAAATAAAAAGCCAAAATTCATCCTATAAATCACTTGAAACAACTGCTAACTTAAAAAGTGAGCAAACCTTTTCCATGTATCTTTTTGCACTGTAGACCCATTCTTGTTTCTCTATCACTTTGTACACTGTAGCAGTCCTATTTCATATGAAGTCAAGCAGTATTATAAGGGCCTACTGCACCATTGCAAATATGATCTGAAAAACTATAAATCACTTCTAGGTTCCGAAAGATATTTTGTAGCTTTATCCTATCTTATCAGTTCATTAATAAAAGCAGTTAACGCATTCATAGTACTTTTTGAAACATGTTGAGTAAACTTTTCCTGTCCATTGCCAAAATATTTCATAGCAAATTTGGAAGGAAATTCATATTAATCCTGTTTAATTTTGGAGGACTGATCTTGAGGTTTTCTATCCAGATATCCACATAATTCAGAACTGATTATATTTATACATAGAGAGACAATGTATTAAAGAGGTTGCTTGTTGAGGTAATGTTTTATTACACCAACTCCTGTTGCTCAAAGAGACAAGCTTTTGAGCTTTACAGAGCAGCATCAACTTAAAAATCATACTTCTGTCTGAAAATGCTTTTCCTTCAGTTATTAAAAGTATCACCCAAGACTGAAAGAAATTAGAGAAAAAGTGTTTCTCTCTATTTTTGTTCAGTTTATTCACTTTGTGCAATCGCCAGCACTTCTCATAGTGCCGCTGCCCTGGTATAGTCAGAGTGAGTCAGCTTCTCCGGTTTGTGGGGGTCTTTCACACAACAACAGGGGAAGAAAAATATTTTTAAAAACAGAAAAATGTGATTTTTTTTAAGCACAAAAACTGGAACAGGGAATGAGAAGCAGGTGCAATCACTGAAATGACTTTTAACTGGCTGTCTGAAACTGATTAGATATCTAGCGGATGAAGTGCCATGATGAACGGAGGGTCACTAACTGCAAATGTAAGAAAAGTAGAACAGAAAGTGCCTGGCTTCATTTACCATTTAAAGAAACATAAAAAAAAGGGCTCTTGCTTCCAATGGAAGAAACTTACCAAAGTAAACGGGCTTTCCGCATATGGGACAATATGAAATCATCTTCAGGGCTCCTCGGCACAGCACACAGCATTGAACAGGGCTCGTATAAAAAGCCTTCTTTTCAGCTAAAGCAACAGGAAAACCATGGCCAACAGCAAGACAATGACGTGTTCTGCTTTTGAAGCAGGATATTGTGGTTATAGGTAAATGAGAGCACTGTAGTGTAAGAAGCTGAGTTCAGGGGCTTTATTACATGAAGAATTAATTTATCTTTTTGAACCAAAAATGTAGACTTTAAGAAACACTTCTTCTCTATCACCAGAGGAGAAACACTGGAACCAGTTTAACTTCACCTCGTGTGCAGCACTCATGATATCTGGTGCAGATGCTGCTTATACAAGTCTCTTTTGCAAATCTTTTCTCCCAAGTTTCAGAGCCTGAGCTCTGATGTGAGCAGGAATGTTTACCCTGCTATTTTTAGCGCCATATCACAAGCCTATGTCAGTTGACCTGGGTTTTGAGACTCGCTGCCGGATAGGTTTTTCGCCATGTAGACATACCCTCATTGGCAGAGCTGAAACTCCAGCCCTCCAGTCCAGTGTTCGTCTCTCTGGAGTGGGAGGCATCTCTTCCTTTTGCAGCTTCGAAACACAAGTACAGATTTCCCCCCAAAACTAGTTTTGGGTCTAACTTAGGCTACGACTACACTTGAAGAGTTTTTGCGCTGTCAGTTTCAACGGTGATAGTGAACCCATGAAAGAAAGCGCTGGCGTCAGATCGTGTTTACAGTTGCAGCATTTCCATCACCCATGAGAGCAGCGCACTGAGGGCAGCTATCCCACAGTGCAGCTCTTGCCATTTAGACGATCGGTCTTGTGGGAAGGGTGTGATCGCGGGGCATCCTGGGTCCCTGCACAGCCTCCTCTCCACAAATGCTGATCGGCTCCAGTAGCTCAGCATCGCTCCAAGCGGGGGATCGTTTGCTCCACGGAGCAGCATTGTCACCAGGCCAGATGATAAGTGAGCACTTGCTAAGAAAACAGGAAGGGGAGTTTCAAAGTTCCTGGGGCTTTACACCAGAAGGGGCAAACGTCTGTTTACCTGGTGTCAGAGCAGCAGAACTGCTGACCAGAGTGGTCACTGTGGGATATCCTGCATAGGCTAAAAGCTCTGTAAACAGGAAGAATGTGTCTTCACTTGCACATCACTACAAAAGCATCACCAGTAAGAGCTGTACACCTCTCGTGGAGGTGGTTTTCTTTTTGTGGTGAAACTTCTGAGTTTTACCACAAAAAATCATTGGCAAATGTAGATGCTCCCATGGTTTTTGTGCAAAAAAGGGACTTTTTCTGCTTTAAATGGTAAGTGTAGGCATGCCCTAAATGTAGATTATTACGCCTGGTGCCTGTGTGAACCCCTGATGCACCTTGAACAAACACTATCAATCCAAATCGAAATACTAGCCCTGCAACATACAGCAAGACTGTGTACCCAGGCAGCACACACGAGACACTGAATTCCCCAATGGCCCCCAACAACCCCTCTACCAACAGCCCTCTGAAAGAAGATGTGTTTGTGTGGTGCGGCAGGGGGACTGATCGATCTGGGCTGAACCGGGCCACCATGTTCCAGCTCCATAGGGCTCCTACAGAGAACGCCCTGGCAGTAAAATTGAATAGTGTCCAGAGGACTGTGCTGCATTGGTCTGATCCAGGTTATTGGGCTCAATACAGGAAGAACTGGGTGGGGTTTAGTGGCCTATGATGTATCAGGAGTCAGACTAGATGATCGGGTGGTCTCTTCTGGCCTTATACTCTATGACTATAAGAAACATGATCCAGCGGTGAGGGCACTAGCCCAGGACTTGGGTTCAAATCCCTGCTCTGCCACAGATTGACCATGGGCAAGTCACTGAGTCGTGCTGTGCCTCAGTTTCCCCTCTAGCCAATGGGATAACTGCACTGCCCTGCCTCACAGGGTGAGGGTGAGTATGTTAAAGATTGTGAGCTCCTCAGATACTATGTTATGCGGGGGTCAGAGAAGTATCTGAAAAAGACAAAATCCATGGGAAGTGAAATTCAGGGGAACTTTAGCCAAAGAATTGTTCCCAGTTTTGTCCAGCTGTAATTTAACTTCTAAACAGGCATCTGTCAGCATCTCAACCTCAGGCGCTGTGAAGTATCTTAAAGCAGTGTGGCAAACTGCACTCACAGTGTTTGTGAGACAGGAAAACGTGACAGGAAGTGGGTGCTCACCCTGCTTCTGACCATTGTTAGCTCACAACTTAACTCTTATGGCAGCATTTGCATGGCGGTTGTCACTCACTCTGAGCGGTACCTCACCCAGGCAGCATATACCAACCAGCCGGCAGGGCAGTCCCGTTAAACAGACCTTCCCAGCAAGTCTCAGTCCCGGAAACAAAATAGAAACAGGAGCATCCAGCAAAGTTCTGTGTCAGAACAATGGTTAGAAGTTTACCCAGCTCTTGATACTGCTAATAGAGACACCTCACACACTCATTTTACACAAACATTGCCCTGGTGTAAATGCTACCACATTAGGGCTCTAACACAGTGCACCCAATTTGCATCGGCACAAATGACATTACTGACCCAAGCAGAGAAACAATCCCAAAGCCTCGTACAATAGTTTAGAAAAGAAATAAGGACGGTGGTAAAAAGTTCAAACATTAGTTGCAGCTATGCTTTTATCCTACGGCCGCCAGTGAATCCCATCCTGTCTGATGGCCCTCCAGCAGAGTGATTTTTAAGAGAGATTGCCAACTTTTAAAAAAAAATTATCTTTCAGTCGGATGCACAACGTAACACCCAAGATTGTTATATTGGAAAAAGAATAGCCTGCACCAAAACAATCTCTATTCTGGATCACGCACTGCACATCTGGCAGCATTTTGTGTACAGCTAGTTTCACCATCTCTCCTTTGCAGTCAGTTCGTTCCTCTTTTTTGCTTGTGAGAGTGTTTCAGACAGCAGCAGAGGAGAGAACAGCATTACATATTAACATATGACGGGGAAACCACAAAATGTGGCAAGGCAGCGAGGGGCAGGTGCAATCGCTGAAACCGCTTTAAACTAATTTATTTAAAACTGACTAGATTTCAAGCTGCCTGTGCCCCTTTAAGCTGTCCCTCAAGGCCCAGTCTACACTAAAAAATTTTGGCAGTATAGTAATGTCCGTTAGGATGGTGGGTTTGCTTGTAACATTTTTATACTGGCAAAAGCACCACTCAGGGAGCTGGTATAAGTCATACCGGCAAAAGCCAGTATAAGCTGCATCTACATTAAGAGTGTTTGCTAATATGGCTATATACTGTACCCCTTTTCTAGTGTAAACAAGGCCTTGCTCACTAGTCAGTCCTTAGCAGTGCAAATTTCTGGAGCCGAGTGAATAGCAGGGGGGGAAAAAAGTCTGCAAATAGTCGTTAAAAATTCTAAAGGGAATTTTGATCCAACCATATATTCAACCCTTTTGTATTCCCTTTCCATAAATATTCGAGTGCTCAAACTCGACTACCATGACTACTTGCTAAACCAAAATGTTTACCTTCAGTGCATGAATATATGCTGAAAGTACATTTTGAATTCTATATTCAGTTGTAATAACCACATTTTGCTCTGTATTGGTTATTTACATAAGTCATATGGTGCTGTTTCTTTATTTTGATTGGATGTCTTGGGTAACTCAACAACATGGTACATTCTACCAATGAAAACATCGAACATATAGTTCTAGCTTCCTGCAGTGTCCATTTAATTCCATAAATTACTGCTAAATAAGTTCCAGAAGTTAATTGTGTATGTGACAGTGTAAATTACATATTTGGTGGTAATCTTTGCAGTCTGAACGAACTGTAGACTAAGAACTGTTCCCCAAATTAGTTTATATATAATTTCAAGTAGCAACAAATGTGAGAATTTCACAGTCTCTTCATGGAAAATTCATAAGCAGAAAAAAATTGATTTCCAAGAAAAATACTAAATGGCTGATTCTGTACTGAAGGTTTTGTCTTAAGAGGAACCATTTGTAATGAAATCTCTTAACAGAATGAGGAAGAACAAGGGCCTTGTCTATATTCAAAGTTGCACCAGTTTAAATAAAGATCTAATTTTAAAATGGTTTAGTTAAACTAGTGCAAAACCCTGTGTGGGCACTCTAAATTCAATTTAAAAGTGGTTTATATATGGATTTCGGTTAAAACAATATTTCAATTTAGTTTAATTCAATTCCTTATTGCATTCAGTTATATCGATTTAATCCAACTTTAAATTGAATTAAGAGTGTCTACACAAGGAGAGTCAACAAACTAATTTAGTTAAATGAGTGAAACTTTGAATTTGCTTTGGTTTAAATCCAAAGTAACTCCACTGACTGGTTAGAAAATGAAATAGCAATTTGAGAAAATTTTTATAAATCTTTAATTCATTTTCATTTGAAATGGCACAAAATGTTGAGAGCCTGAAATTTTCTGTGAAACAATTTAGTCAGAGTTCAAGCTGGTTGGAAAAGGGATTTTCCATCTTGTGAAATTTTGAAAGTTTAAAACTTTTTCCTCCCAAATATGGACAAAAAGCCAAAATTTTGAAATTTTTCACAATATGAAATTCTGAAAAAAATGTATTCTTCAAGTGCTTGCTCATGTCAGTTCCAAGTAGGAGTGCACAGTCATCTGAAGGTTTTTCCTTTAGTGGTACCCATCAGGTCAGCTGTGGAGCCTCCTGGAGTCGCGCCTTCATGGCGGTGTATATAGGTCCCGGCTGACCCACCGCCTCTTCAGTTCCTTCTTACCACTAGTGGCGGTCATTGGAACAGCTCTTCTCTTGCTATGGCAAGCAATCCCCTACCGGACTCTTTCTAGTCATATCTGTAAATAGTTTAAAACTTAGTATTAGTTAGTTCGATTAGTTCTTAGTTAGTTAGATAAGTTTCAGTTGGGGGTTCCCCCCCACCACGTTTCCCCTCTCGGGGACCGGGGCTTGACTCAGTCTCAAGGGTTTAAGCCATGCAGGTCCTGTCTGAAGCCTATGCCAAAGGGAGGGAAGTGCAGCTCCTGTTTAAAGTGTTTGAGGGAAGCCCATCAGACCAAGAAGTGCAAAATCTGTAGAGGCTTCTGCCCAAGGACTAAGAAGGAGAGGGACTTGAGGCTGAAACTACTCCTCATGGAGTCAGCCTTTCATCCCCGGCTGGCACAGGCCTCGTCCCTCACGCCCAGCACTTCAGTGTGGTGCGCGCCAGCCTTAGTAAGAGAGGCCACAGCACTGAGAAAGGACTCGGGCTCCAGGGACCCTCGACACCGCCACTCCGTGGCACCAAAGACCTCCTCCAGGGCAAGTGCCCTGCACCGCTCACATTCGCCGGTGCGGCACAAAAGAAAGAATACCGACAGAGGTCGCCCTCCCACTAGAGCAGTGGAATGAGGAGGCACCAGTGGGGTGTGTCCCATGCTGGGACACCCTGCTCCAGCTCCGACTCAGCCAGCACCATCGACTCTGGCCTCACAGGGAGGTCTGTCGAGTCTGGTTCTAATGCGGGAGTCTCGGGAGGAGGACTTAGAGCTTCCCTCCACGCCGGATGACTCTGAGGTGGCTAGGGACCGCCTAGCAATGATGGCGCAGTCCCCCACACAGGCACCACAAAGAAGCACTGTGTCCTCTAGGGGCAAGCCGGCGATGATGAAGCACAGTTTGTCCTCACCTCCGCACCACTCCCTGGCGCTGTCTTGCTCCACACGGCCTTGGTCGCCCAGGTCAGAGTCCTCATTGGACTCGGAGGCAGGGTTGTACACCTCTAGGCAAAGCCGGCTCCGCTCGCGGCACCACTCCAGACAAGATGGAGGGCAGCCATTGCCGCTGATGTCGTAGCCACCGCAGTGGACCCAGGCCTGCTACCAAGCCCAAGGGCTGGGGTCCAGATCCTAGTCAGTGATTCTGGAGGCATGGGACCCTCCATCAT